CTTTGTTATTCGCTCAATATAGCAGTTTACACTTGACTCCGTATCTTATCACAGCAAGTAGTGGTTTACTCCACACGTTTACAAGTATATCCTAGAGTATAAATCGACTTATAGAGGTTAAAACTCGAGTATTTAAAGATATTAATAAGTAAACCTTATATTAATCTTTTAGAAGTAGATTAAATATAATTATAAAGTAGTTCTACTCCTAGGGTAGGAAAATAAGGTAAATAGTAGGCCCTATAAGGGGTAGTATAAGGGTTAGTAACGTTAATATTTATTATAAATATAAGGTAAAAGTAGGGTAAAAGAGAGGTAAAAAGTATTAAATTATTAGAATCTAGAAAATAAAAGTAAAGGAGGGACTTAAATCCTTGTACTTCTAAATTTTATACTAGTTTATCTACTAAAAAGTTAGTTATACTATATCCCTAGCCCTTTAATTACTCCCTAGCCCCCTTTCTTTACTTAGCAAGTTACTAAAAAATCCGACCCCTAGGCTCCCGAGTACTAAAAAATAACCTTATAGCTATATTATATATATATAGTATAGTTTCTAAAGGTGTGACAGACGTGCTTCAGGTAGAACTCAGAACAATTAACACTCTATTCTTAGGACAAAAGACGAGGAAAGAAGGAGAGCTCTAGTGAGCTGGGAACTAAATACAGGTCGTGCGCGCTAGCGCCTCGCTAAGCGAGCATGTGACATCCAGCCCTCGTGACCATAACCGTCACAAAAGGTATTAGATATTCCTAGACTATAAGTACATTTTTTTAGCCCCTAATTATACTAGATAAAGGGGGTAGGATATGTAACGACTACTCAAACTGGCTAACTAAACTTGGCTGGGTGTTCGCTGGTTGGTATGCTATGATAAGAAGAAGACTATCGGGTTGTTCACTTGGAAGTGAACTCGTTACTTGTATCAAAGATGTCAAACTAATATGATAAGATCGATAACTAAGTTGAGCACGAAGCTCCTATCTAATGGCAGAAGTGCCAGTCTTATATAGAACCTTCGTTCTACTGGATCCCTTCTGGATCCGTGGATCCCTTTGGATCCCTCCTGGATCCATCGGGGTCCATCACGTGACATCAACCAAATGAAATCCATGGATCGCTTAGCTGGCCTAAACAATCCCTATTTGCTATAAGAAACCTGGATGTGCCTGTCGAGGGTTGCGCCTCTTTATTATGACAAGTATCACGTGAGCATGTGATTCGTGACAGATAAGGTACTATAGCGATATAAGCGCTTAGGCTAGTCTAATAAATTAAAACAACCTAGGAGTACAGGTCGGTTTGATTAAATTAGTCCGAAATACGCTCGTAAAACTTGAAATCTAATACGTATATTAGACGTCTAATACGTGAAACAGACGTCCGATACGCGAATACCTCGTATACGCCGTTCCAATGGATCAGATGAATGCCTAATTCCTCAGGCTTCAATGGGTGCCTTGCCTGACCAGGTACAAGGAAACTTGTTAGGTACTCCGTATAGAATTATTTTCCCATCCGCCTGCATCAACCTCAATCCGATACCTCGCACCAATCCCAAATTCTTCGAGATGCAATGGCACTGGGTACTGCGCGACATAGCATTGGGCCTCGCTAGATATTCTCGCTAGATCAAAAGTATGCGCCCCGCCCTTCAGAAACTCCTCGCAAGGCCGTCTTCCCTCGATTTTCTGCGATGTCTGACGGGCACGGCTGCTGCCCCTCCTGTTTGCAATCACCGACCTCGACCATCATATTTCAATCGACAGAAAATATGCGCTCGCAATCATACGGCTGCCACAACAAATATCCGAGCGACCGCAGAAGACGACCAACATATGGAAACTACTTCGAATCATGAAGCCGTCCCCGGGAAAGACGAGTTGTTGCGCGACCAGAAATCTAATCGCTGGAAATTGAAGATCTGGAGTGCCGAAGAATTGGACTTTGAATCAGATTTAAAGCAGGAGACCGACGCCCTCAGACTTGTAGATGATCCCCGTTTCGAGCAAGACTTGCAGCTCTGGGCTTTCCTTTTGGATTACCGGCAACAAAAATATGGCCTGGATGGGGTTGCTATGATCTGGGAATCTTTTCGCGCGCGAAATATCAATATTACCCCCGCTCGAGATTCCGCGGCTGCTACAAAACTTCGGGAGACTTTCCTCTCTTTGGGGTACGAAACCAATGTCGTCATAGGGGAGATTTGTGAATATGCGATCGAGATGTACATCAGGCACCAATCTCAATGGCCAAAGCTATACTCCCGTGTGGTTGCGCATTTCATGATCAATGGAACCTTTGAACAAGCTGTCCACTGGCACCGGCGCCTGTTGCCAACACACCCACCACATAAAAAATCATTCTACAACATGTGCCGACGCGTCATTCACGAAAAAGGAAATCTTTTGGCACTTCAAGTTGCCTATAAGGACTCCGGTCACCGTCAATTATATAGAAGGATAATGGGCTTGCTGTGTGAAAAGATCGCCTTTCCGAGTGCATTCAAGTGGCATCAGCTACTTATTGAACATGGTGATCTGCCTCTGTCATTTTCGTCAGCATTTCCCCTCATTCGATGCCTATGGATGTCGGATACAGCTGGATCTTTGCAAGTCAAGGCTCAAGTAGTCATCAAAAGCCTCGAGGATATCGGTATATCAATTGACCTAGATCAGTTGGAAAATCCTAGGGACAAAGAAATCGGACAGTGTCTTTTTCCCCCACGCCAGAAATACCATGCGACCACGCCCGTCGACTTGGGCTCTGATATTGGAGACGTTCAGCCACAGCCACACAAAAAGATTTATATCTCACGTGAGATGATGAACGATATACACGGTGAGCACTACGGAATCGAACCTGTACGTTACAATGATAAGTTGGGGGCAAGATGGTTTGCTAGTAATTGGGTCTCACTAGACCTGGCAATCAATGCAGTTCATGCTCTCGGAGTCCAAGCGATTGGACCGTTATCTTTGCATGCAATTGCACTTCGTGAACCAGAACCTAAAGACCTTTCTATGCGAATCAAACAGCTGAAAGACCTTGGAATATCTATCGGCAATTCCATCTTTTCCCGGGCTGTGAAATATTTTGCAGAAGAAAGGAAAGATAGTGAACTCAAAAGTCTATTGAGTAGCGATCAACATCCCAGCGAATACGAAAATTATGAACTTCAAGAAAGGCTGCTATTGCAATATAACAGCGCTAAAGACTGGGCTCAATTTAGGCGGACCCTGGCAATGCTCTCATTTCACAACATGGCCCCAAACCGAGAGGCGGCCAATCTTATTCTGCGAACCCACGTTCAAAGGCAAGACTTATTCGCCATACACGACACATTGACAATAATGGCGCAATATGGGCGAGGGGTATCGGGGAGAACGGCAGCACGTTTGATGAAGTACCTTCTGGCACCGCGAAAAAAAGGTCATCGACCCACCCTCGATCACAACAATTTCAATATACGAATGACTATAAGTATCTGCAGGGCATTGACCTATGCTGGTCAAATCCCACCAAGATCATGGATCGAGATTTTACGTCGCCTTGGGATGCTTGGCCAGTTGCAGGACTTGGAAAATTTGTGCAGGTTCCTCGTGGAAGCTTATGACCCGACCAATCTTACTTTGGTCGGTAGACAACACATACCACCAGGTACAGAGCCCCGTTCGCCCTTGCACCCGTACCGGCTGATATTCTCCGAGAAATTTCAGACCTCTTTGGTAGAGTGGGGTTTTATTCACGCACTGAAAGACACATCAATACATCCTACATACGAAGGTGCTCCAGGTCCGTCGCCAAATTTCATCGCTTATGACGAAGACGGTATCCCGATGCGAGACGTTTCGTTCGGTATTCGTCTCCTCAAAACACTCGCCTCGAAGGGAGTGTGGGTAGACTTCGTACCCATCAGAAAAGCCATCGTTAATCGAATGATTGTCTGTTATGGACCGCTCAAATCGATTAAAAGCTACAATCAGAATGCCAAAATCACACTTGGTCTCCATGATGGAGTTTCCCCACAACAGAGCTTTCGGAAGATGGCCAAGATGGTTGATAGCGTTCTGGGGACTGATGCATTTTCCAAAATGAACATTGAAACGTTGATTGCTGCGAAGATCGAAAGTCTTAAGCAGAGGAAGGTTGCGCCGCGAAAGCCGGGGACGGGGAGGGGGAAATTCTGAGATGTATCAAGCGCCAGAAAAGAATAGGCGGCCCGTAAAGGGGGTAGACATTTAAAGCTGGGCACTGTCGTTGATTATAGTATGCCTCGGCCCCGATTTTTAGCTAAATCAGCGAATCAAGGACTTATATCTGGGTGATATAGACTTTTCTCACATATGATCTACGTGACAGTGTTCAGCATTGACTGTCCATCCCCTTTGTGTTACTTTGTTTTCAGTCATTAGATAAATTGGGTAATTCAGGGGGCATAAGGGTGTATGGATTCAAATAAAATCTAAAAAAGAAAAAAAGCCTCTGGGATGATCGGAAGTTTCAAGATTGCATACATAGATGTGGATTGATGTAGGAACGTTTGATTGGTTGTTATATAAAACTGAAGGCTATGTTATTCACCATCAAACTCCAATTCAGCTGAGCACTCAGTGATTAGCCTGCTCTCCTTCTCTCCCTGTCTCCTTCAAAATTACATCACTTAACCAATTAAATCAATCCTTTCCTTGCTTCTGTTATATCGCAGTTAGAGAACGACAGCCTGAATCTACAGCGTCTGCAAAGCCTGAAGGGGTCCTTGAGTGGGGTTTGTCTTGGCACCATATCTTCTTTCTTATATAACTTCTGCCTTTTGTGCTCATCTCACAAAGAGTGCTAAATAGGTCTTTTATTCTCTTAACAAAGAACATTCATTGCGATAAAGCTATTGTTCACCCATATACAGAAAGACTTCACAAAGAGTTTCTTTGCAGAGATGAACAATCATTAGAAAGGCCATTAAAACCACTGAAATCTCAGTGTTGGATTTCTCTTCACCAACAAGCATCTAGGAATCCGAGATTTCTACATACTTCATTGTTCATACCACATATCGAATATATAGCGCCTGTAAGTCATTTTCATTTTCCCCATACCACGCCATAGAACAGTACAGTAAGTTCATAACCTCCAATCCAATAAAACCTACCACGGAAAATGGGAAACTACACCTCCTGCTGCATCCCACTCCGCACCACCGCACCACCCACACTACCCCCCTCCCCAACCGCCCACGAAACCACACCCCTCCTCCATGCCCTCACAGCGGAGCAAGCANGGAAAATGGGAAACTACACCTCCTGCTGCATCCCACTCCGCACCACCGCACCACCCACACTACCCCCCTCCCCAACCGCCCACGAAACCACACCCCTCCTCCATGCCCTCACAGCGGAGCAAGCACGCAGACGCGTCTTAATAGCCTACTACACCGCCGAAGACATCAGCGTATTAACGACCCACCACCCCCCCACCCCTCTCATAAACGGAACATCTCTGCTCCTTCTAAACTCCAAACTAACATCTCACCATACCCTTCTAGCCTCTCTTACTCCCCAACCCCCACCCCGTCTTCTCTGTGTTCAAGTGAGATTAGTGCGGGTTCGGTGTGTGAAACGCCGTCGACGTACCACCGCTCTCCGGGACTCTGTAGAGCGGAGTATTACGCGTGGATGAATGGGGTGATGGGGAGGGAGGTGGGGATGCGGGGGAGTGTTGTGGGGTTTGAGAGAGGAGTTGGGATTCGAGGGAGAGGGTGGGAGGGAGTGCTTTTTGGGGATGAGGAGTTGGTGGGTTGATTATTTTGGGGGAGGTATGAGTGAGGTTTGGTGCGATTTGGTGGGGATCTTTATAAGATTGACTGAAAGGCTTTTTTGGAATATCTTTGGTAGGAAGTTATTTTTAGGAATTACTAGGCAGGTTTGTGATATTAGTTATAGATTAGCGAGGCTGGAAGGAATTGTAACCTCGCTTAAAATGTGTTATAGCTTGAAAATATATGCTTATTTCATCTAAAATTCCTTGGGTAGATAGTGACTCTTTCCGTATTTGCAAAGTGATGGCAGTGTATTATTGCGTGATAGACCAAGCAGATAATAACATACTCTCGGTTATACGCACTTTATAGCTCTCTTCTTAGGACATCCTTGGAAATACGATATAGTATTGGGAATAACGAAAGTTAACTTTAGTTTTAAGCTTATAGTAGATGAAAACAGCCTATATTAAATGACTTCCTCGTAGTTTCTTATTCCCAATTAAATGTAAGTAAATAATAGGTACTACTCTAAACATTATAGACTTTGTTCTCTGAGAGTTTTTAATTAACAGTTTTGAATTACCCTGGTAAGCCTAAAGGGACCGAACGGCCCGCGTGGCTATCTGATCTAAAGGGGGTAGTTAGCTCCGATTATTACGTAGTTTATTTTAAAGCTTGTTATACAAGGGCTCTTTTAGTAGCTCTTATACTGTTTCCAGGACAACTTGACTCGAGTAATAACTAAGTCTAATCAATTAGTTACTAGTGTGTTTGAATACTGATTCAAGATAAGCATCGGCTTGTAGAAGCTCAGCTAAATCTAAGTAGTCGGACAAGTCGAAAATGACCTAGACTCGCTATAGGCGCTCGAGCCAACTTCTTCCGAACTACTTAGGTAGTACAAACATCAAAATAACCGTAAGTACCAAGACGGAATGTAGGCACCTGAACCTTAAGAAACCACATGTACACATGCGACCTCAAGAATAATCTAACAATAATCATGAATGTCTAGCTATTACGATTATGAAAGCCAGTACAGACCCGTATCCAAAATTCCCTTAATTATGATACAAAACAAATCTTTCGTAATACGTATACGTAAAACCGTGATAAAATGCGGTTACCGTGAGTACAGGGAGACTCGGTCTAAAATCAGGTTCTAACTTAGCAAGGGGAACGTACCGAGGCGAGTCATGTGATAACACGCTACAAATTGTAAATGAACTGGCCAATGCGCGACAGAATAGACGTTGTAACAAAATGAAAGGTTTCTATTGGTCGATAAAAGGACGTGGCCTTTTCCGCATCATTCGACTTTGTCATGGAAATTCCATGGAATTGTATCAATGGAACGGGTTCTCCGAATCTCCCAGAGGTCTCCCAGATATATGGTTTGAAATAGAATGGACTTCCGGACACCGAACGTCGAGCCCCACAATATGAGCTTCTTAGTTGATTCTTCGTCTGATTCATGCGGGAGGTATCTCAAAGACCAACAAAGGGGAGTCGGCCTGAAACTATGTAGGTCTTTTGTTTCGTATGGAGGAGATATGTGGACGTAAGCCCGTACATTTTGCGTAATTTGAAAGCAAACTAGTACTTCTATATACACTACAGTGATTCTGGTGCTCATCCCACGCAAGGGTTTTGAACTGACAGCACAATTAAGCCTCGACCCAAACGAAATCTTAACCTTATAGAGTTCGTCGTCAACTTATCGTAAGCTCCTCCTTTATTAAAGGGTCTGGACAGCTCGGGTCTTCCCCCCCTTGTCACTTTCTAATATACCTCCACATGAATCGGACAATTCAATTGGCTTGGAGGGCTATATTGTGGAGTTATACCCTGCCTATAACAACTCGTATACAGGGGGGGGGAGCGACGCGAGCTGTCCAGACCCTTTACTCCTTTCAAAACTATATTTACTAGAACTTGCTAGCTATAACCTTGATTATTATTTATTGGGTTGAAAGGGTATTGGGTACTGAAGGTCATGGAGAATTGATTGCATTGTAAAAGGTAGCTATCTAAGGTGTTTATATAAAGAGTGTAAGGTTTAGGCAGACATGAAGCATTTAGGCAGCAGAGCTATAAGTGGATCAAATCAGGAAGTGGAGCAAAAGAGAAAGTAGACCCAGCACAACATTATTCTAGACATATTTCCATATAAGATATCCACCTGGTCCCCTCCTGGTGCAGCTATCTTCTCTTGGTCGCCCACATCGAACACCTTTATATACCATCGAACTTCGTTAATTGCAATTTAACAATCATGAAACTTAACTTTATTCTCGTCTTGACCCTTGCTGTATCGGCTAATGCCGCCGTACTTACCAGGGACGCCGTCCCCGACGACAGAAAGTGGTGCAATGATGGAACTGAGGGGAATGGAAGTTGCGAAAAAGATGGCTACTTTACTTTCTGCGTAAGTACTCCCCAATAATCGAAATCGATTGAGTATTGTATACACATTTATTCTCGCCTACAGTGCATGAACGACCCCAATTATCCCGGATTTGGAACTCTACGGCATGCTATCAAAGGTTCCATGGACATGAAGGATAACAAACGTTGCGGTCCTGGTGGCTATGGAACAGTTGATTGCTGTCCTAAGGATTAAATGGCTAACATACTGTGTAAGTACTCCGTACTAATAATTACGGCTTCTATATTGTTTATAATCTAAAACTTCTCTATAGTACTTTGTTCACAAAAGATAATTGCGGCACTCTACTAGTGTTTGGCAATTCGACGGCAGACATAAGCTCTGGTTACTTTTCATATATTATTTACTGGAGAAGAGAAGCCCTAGCCCTACTCTAATATATCTATATATCTCTCTCTTATCTGACCATTGAAATTGAAATCCAGTTTTATCATCACACTTGAATCGTGTTTACCAAATGAATCTTTTAAGAAAGGCATAGTAATTAATTGCGTTCCTAATTCTATCTTATGGACACTTATAATATCTTTCAGCCCGATGAAAGTAACACCATATGGGCAGAAGTGCCACATGCGCGGAAACTAACCAGGGAGAAATCGTGGCTAAACTTTTGTTGAGATTATAGTTCGAAGAGGGGTTGTCTTGTTACAAAACGGAATTTGATGCTACAGTAACTTCATCCCAGGCGTAATACTTCCATTTCGAGATTAATCCCGCCTCTACACTTAGGTTATCCATTCTATTTCGAAGGAATTTAGGTCTACTTGAAAACCTAGGTAGCTGGATTAACTTTGGTATCTCTTTAATACCGTATATGTATCTTACATCGGCTTTTTCAAGTTTATGGTTTTCTCTTTGGGCTATAACCTTCGAAAACAAGCACTTAATTAAGTATATCTATATAAAAAAGTCAAAAATAATAATCGGCCGATCGGACCGGTGAGTACAATGACTAGACGCGTTACCCGGGCTCGGACCGAGGTGCTCCGTACTAGCAACGTCGAAATAATCGCAAGTACTAAGAGTAAACGTAGATGCAAACTCAAAAAGTCAGATGTACGTATGCGGCAATACAGGGATAAAGAGAATAGACAATTAAAGGTAGACACTGTCACGTAAATGATGTGTTTTGCGTAGCGAGGGTGACTAATCAACCCCGCTCTCCTTGTATGGTGGCCGTTACCGACCCTCTGGCGCAAAATCGGAAAATCGATTTTTCGCAAAAACATCGATTTAGTATAGGCGTATAACTAAAACTCGATACATTTATGTATTAACGTTTTATTATATATACGCTAGTGATTATAGGTGAGTAGGTATATAGGGCTATCTAAGGATATAGAAACAATCTAAATCTAACTATTATAATAATAGTAGTTAATAGATTTATTATTTATTTATAAGTACTAACTTATTTAAATTATTTTAAATAATAAAATAATAAAGTTTTATATTCTTTATACTTTATAGCTAGGATCTATATACTCTTTTAAAAGATAATTCTTTAATATAAGGTCCTTTAATATTTATAGTTACTTATTATTTTAATAATAATAATAAATACTTTACCTAGTATCTAAGTAGTAGTGTGACGGTTCTGACCGTCACGTGCCATTCATATCCCGTGGCTTCCTTAGCGAGCCACATTGTATTTAGACTCAAGCTCTCTCGAGCTCTCCTCTTCTCCTCAGCTTAGAATCTTCGAATAGACAGTTCTACGATTCCATAACCTACACCTTGGAGGCTCCTTGAGCAACACATCGTACGTGTCGTCACAAGTAGCTAAGTATATAACCTATTATTATATAAACGCGGAATAGTACTTACTAATAGGTAAATCGCTCGACTATTATACTTATAATAATCGATTATTAATAAAACTATTATTACTAGATAGCTCCAATTATATATTTATCTTATACTAATAGCTAAACTCTTCGAAACGTTATTATATTAATATATTAATAATTAGTTTTTCGAGGGAATAAAATTACTAAAAGTTGATTTTATAATTTAATTATTTTATACTAGAGGGTTAGTAACGGCTACCATACTTCTTGTTCTAAGCTATTCGTTATTATATAAGGGTAGTTTAATAAAAGACTAAGTTATAAGCGCCTAGGGTATAAATACACCCGGATACTTACTAATCTAAACTAATCTAATTTAGGTTCTAATATTATCCTTTCTACTTTATTAATAATAATAACTACGATTTAGTAGAATTATTATTTATACGCTAGCGAGCTTTTCTCTTTAATTAAAATAGATTATCTATTATATAAATACCCTTTATAAACCTATAAAATAACTTAATTAACTAATAGCTTATAAATAGTAGTACTAGATACCCAAAATACGCTAGTTCTATTATTTAAAGACCAAATTAAATCAAATAAGAGTAGGGCAAGGATTAAGGTAATTTATATAAAGTCCGAGGCGTATATTATAGTAATATGCGCTAGAAAAGAGGGTAGAGTTAGTGTTTAGAATCTCCCCTCTATAGTACGTACTCCCCGCTACTCCTTTTCTACGGAATCTCCGTTCTTATTCGTAACTAATTAGAGCGCTCTCCTTTCTCCTCTAATTCTAACTAATTAGTACTCCTTCTTCTTACTAGGACCCTAGATAGGAAAGAGTAAGAGTACTTCTAAGTAAGTACTAGTAGTATATAAGTAGTTAGTAGTAAAATAGTCCTAGATGTGACGGAGCTGGATTTCATTTGACAGGATTTCATTCGCTTGGCCAAGCACGTGACGAGACTTGGCATTGGAACAACTTAAATAACTTCGCTCCTTTCAGATTCTCTTCTCTCTTTATTTTTATTTCTTCGTACCTACGGTTTTAGTTCTAGCAATTGATTCAAAAGCTGTATACACTTTATCCTTTGTTGGCATCCGTGACACTAGAGGTAGAAGGAATGCACGTTCTTAATCTATAGTAAAGGTAATTCTCGGGATATTATTCTAAACTTACTTTAAAGAACCTAGTAAACTAGCGTACTTTAACGAACCTAGCGAACTAGTATACTTTTAAACTTAGTATACTTACGAACTTAGTATACCTACGAATAGCCTTATTTTTCTATTTTATTTTAGTTTCTTTTTCCTACTCCTCTCCTCGAATCCTACCTCTCTTTCCTAGTCCTCTCTAGATATATAACCTGCTACTCCTTCCTTTTACTAGCTAAGTAGTCTAGCTCTCCTACTCCTATCTAAGGCTCTAGAGAAGAAAGGAGGGGAGATTCTAAATACTAGGTAGAGCAGTAGATACCCTAGTATCTTCATAGAACATAGTAGTAAATTAGGATAATAATAATAATAACAAAGGTAAGTTATCCGATACTTAAAGAGTATATCTACCTTAGTTCGTAGGCGTTAATCGAAAATAACTTATAGTAATCGTTCGTAAGAAGTTCGACCTAGTTAACCTTTACAAGTTAATATATTCGGCGAATTTTAACGACGACGAGAGAGACTATAACGTAGTCTTCGAGGGCGGCTCTATAAAGAACGTTAAGGTTAAAGGGAAGCTTAAGGATTATAGCGGCTCTTCTACGATCTGGGGCGAGGGATTCCGGGTTTATATGTCGATTATTAGCGTCTTTTTCGGGGTATAATACCCCTACCTAATTCGAGCACTTTTTGTATTCTACGAAGAGATCTTGCGTTTGGCGAAAGCGTACGAGTAGCAGAAGGCGGTACTCCCACTCGCCCTTGCGTTCCACAAGGCGCGAATCCAACAAAACGAGCTCTTAAAGCATGAGAGCTGGGTGCTGCCAGAGAGGGATATAATCAGGTATTGCCACTTGCATCTATAGTGATCCCCCTAGGCGTATAGCCTCATGATTACCCAATTGGGTAATCAATCCTCCTTCCTTTCGTACTTGCGAACCCGAGACGAGCAAATCATATGTGGAAAAGTCTACTTCGTCCCAGGTCAAATAAATGTTAAGTTCGCGGGGGGTGTTTAGCGGAGTACAGGGTAAAAACCCCCGTAAACTCAACATTTATTGTGCCTGAAATAAAGTATATCACTCAGAATCGGTTCTCTGGTACCCGGTTTTAGCTGAAAATCGGGCCGAGTCGTAATATTGTACAGTATAGTCAGGCCAAAGGTTCAACGGGAGCTGGCCACACTCTTTTGTATTACGCCTCAGACGATGTATATTTCTCGTATTATAAATTACTCTACCTCATTTGCGACCACTTAATTTAATTACGTATTCGAAATAGCTAGGAGCCTTTCCTTGCTTATTGTTCCAGATATCTTCATGTGTAGGATGCCTAGCTAAATAAAATATTAGAGGGTTATTCGTCTTGAAGCACTTAGACCGACCACTTTTATATGCTGTTGAACTTTGCTCTAGCTGCACAACAGGATTCTTATCCTACACTCAAGCAGTGCAACTCCGCAAAACCAAGGTCGTCTAATTTCAAAACATAAACCATATAGTTAGTACTTAGCTTCACAACCCACCTCGTTACTCGAATATCCTCCGTAACGAGAATAGGCGAAAAGGAGGAAGCAGCATCACCGTACAAAAGGGGGGACAAGCCGATATCAAATAAGAAGGGTAAGTATTGGGGAGGTGGTCCAGCCCGAGACGAGGCCACTCTGGGAAGGAAGGGACGTTGGACGACTGCGATTTGGTGTATCGTCGCCCCTGAGCCCTGACCTCGAGAGTCTCGATCTGGGCCCGGCACCTACCTTGAATTTCACAACATAACACTCCTTTTAGGCATGAAGACCATGTAGTGCGAAGCGAGGCGAGAAGCAAGGGGATGGTTCGAGTCCTCGGGTGTAAGCTCGAGATACGGGGCCGTTCGCGCCAATACCCAGGTGCTCACGTTGCACTTCTAGAGTCGCGAGATACGATGCACACCACAAGATACATATTGAGTTTTCTCCAGCGTGGTAACACTTCTAATCAAATACTCAACCCGACTCGAGTACTAATCGAGTTGAGTTAAAAGAGTATGATTAGGTGATTCCGTTGAGTTGAGTTAAGTAGTGGATTTGACTATTCGAGTAGCACTCGAGTAGTTATATATACCCTATGGGAACTCAAGGCCAGATATGTACGAAAATATCTAACACACCCGCCGCGGGCCGTCCCGGGGTACAAAACTATCCCTAGCGCGCATTTTTTCGTACACCAACGGTAGGCGCAAATCCTTAAATATTATACCAAAGGCGCAGTTCTCTATTTACTTGTTTACGCGTTTATCCCTTAGTCCGCAAATCACTCAGCGCCAAGGCTTGGCCTTAACGTTAGGTCTCGAATACGTATACTTCTATTAGTACTAGTTACGCGTTGAGTTATAGCTATTTATTAAACTACCTATAGAAACGTTATAAATGTAAACGTGTGGAGTAAACCACTACTTGCTGTGATAAGATACGGAGTCAAGTGTAAACTGCTATATTGAGCGAACAACTAAGTAAGGGAAGAAGAGAGTTCCAGAGGAACGGAAGCTTATATACAAGATTTGAGCAACACGCACGTGCCGTGCTACACGTGATCTACCCCTTGTCCCTCCAACTCCGTAACAATAAATCTATAATTTACTATTAGAAATAGTATAGCTTAAATTAATATCTTCCGCTAGTTTAATAGTTATATAGTTTTAGTAGTTTTTATCTAAGTATAAGTATACTATTACTATAGTTATAAGATAAAAAGATGTTTTAATACTTAGTACGTTCTAATTAGATATAGTAGTACTATAGCTCGCTTAAAGCCTTATACTAAGCCTAGGCGCTAAGTAACTTATAGACTAAGGGATATATTTACTTATTTACTTATTTATAGAAGTAAGAGGAGCGGTAATAGAAGTATAATAGAAGTAGAGACTTATAGAATAGTTAAGTAGAAAAGTACTTATAAGGAGAAATAAAGGGAGAAGAGAGAATAAAAGGAAAGAAATAAAGGAGAAGGGATAGGTAGAAACAGCTGAGTACTTATGAGTAGGGAAGGAGAGGGAAAAGAATAGGTAAAAATAACTAAGTACTTATAGGTAGTTTATAAAGGTAAAGGAAGGGGGAAAGGCCCTCTAATATAAATAGATAGCTAATAGAAAGCTCGGGTTACGCTAAAACTCTTTTAAAAGCTAATTGTAGGCTATATTAGTTCCTAAAAGTATAATATTTTCTTCTACTTCGTTTAAGGCGAAATAGATACAGGTTTTTTAGGGGTTTTTTCCCTATTATTAACCTTAGCTACCCTAGTAAACCTATATTTATTTCGCCTAGAACGAAGTAAAATACCCTCTATTTTCGCTTAGTAGGGGATAATAAAGTATAAAATCAGAAAAGTAGAAACGCCTACTTTATAGTACTTAAATCTCCACTTTTGATTACCTAATTAGGCCTATATAACGTACTTCATAAGGAGTCCGGATTTATAAGCAGTCCGGATTTTTTACCCCACCATCCAACTTTTAAAAACCATAGAACTTTAACCACTTAATATCTATTTATATAAACTATACTATTGTTCTTATTCTCGATCTGGGCACCTAGGAGCAGTATGCGCTAGTGATCTACATATACTACAGGTTCGTGGTGCACGAATTCGTGGTTCAATTAGCGGGGCCACAGCTTCATCCAAAACCATATTATCACTATTTTGAATAAGTTCCCTCCCTTCCTGACCTGTAAGAACACCCCCAGTAGCAATATATTGACGTCGCACAGTCTTCTTCTTCTTTTGACGTTCAGATTCAGCTCGTAAACGTCGATTTTCCTCTGCCAAAACCGTAGCTGATTGCATAGCCATCTTACACCCTTTAACCAATTGATCTAATGCAATAGCAGTAGGGCTTGAGAGAACGTTTGTACGTCGTTTAATAGATGCTTTAATTGTCTGGGTTTGCTGATCTGCCTCATATGTATTATGGGGTGTCTCAGGGACCCAAGGTAGTAGGTTTGGAGAAAGTAAAGGAGGAGTAGGCGTATGTAATTGAGTATGTAATTTACTCAATACTTGATCTGGGTTGTACGGGACAAGGCCAGTAGTTGCGAATCCATTACAGATTGTGTTTTTGACCATAGTACTTGTACGGGCTACACGATATATTGAAAGGAAGTCTGGTTTATCGATATGATATGTGCCGGCTCGTACTAGCTCCTCGACTCCTCGTCCATAAAGTCGCTTTAAAACTGCAAAGCAACTAACATCTAATGGCTGTAAAAGATGAGATGAGTGCGGTGGCATACAAAGCGTTATGATGTTATGTTCTGAACAGAAAAGATCGAATTCGGGAGTAGAATGACTACCATGGCCATCGAGGATTAAAAGTCGATATACTCCTTTTACACGGTCCTTGGTATATTTCTCAAATACGTCTGAAAGCCACTTAAGACCTAAGGAATCATTGGTCCACCCTTTATCACTAAGTGCAATTGTCCAATCTGCTGGTAATTGATCTGTATACCAAGTCGATATATGCACCTTGCCCTCAAATATAACCATTGGAGGCAACATCCATCCATCTGCACAAATTGATTCGACAACTGTAACCCATTCGCGATTCCCTGGTTGTATATGAATAGCCCGTCCTGTATATTCTGACCCTGTAACAACTTTTGCGGTCGCAATTACTCCCATCTGAAAGCCAGTCTCGTCGAAATTGTATATATCCTCCGCTAGTATACCATATTTCGCAACAATATTATGTACTAATCGAAACCAATCTCGGATAATCGTAGGATCCTCGCATTTTGCGCGCTTATAGTCGTATTTACGAGTGTATTTCGTCCGTAAAGAGTCGTGGCGCTTTATAAAGTTGTCAACCCAGCATTTTCCGACAATAATTCGACCTACTCCAGTTCGCTTTTCCAGTAGTAAATCGGCCATTTGGCGTATCGAATCTTTCCGTACTGGCAGACCTCTAGCTTCCATTGATAACATCCATTGTATAAGTGCTGATTCCTCGAGGTCGGTGAGTTTCTGGTTTCGGGGTCGGAAATCGCGTTGTGGAATAGCTCCCTTGACGCGGTCGTAAGTAGTAGAATATGGCGCATCGTACCTTGTACAAGCTGCTTTTAAGCTTGTAAATTGACCCTTATTGTATGCACTGATTGCAAGAGCAATTTGACCTTCTTTTCGAGACATTTGAACAATAATTGGGTAAGTTATGTAGATTGAAAGTGTGTAGGGTGGTCAATGGTGGGGTAAAAAATCCGGACTCCTTATAAATCCGGACTCCTTATGAAGTACGTTACGAAATTTTCGTACGTATACGAGAATCTCTACTACCGAGTTGTAACGAATACTCAAACTGGCTAACTAAACTTGGCTGGGTGCTCGCTGGTTGGTATGCTATGATAAGAAGAAGACTATCGGGTTGTTCACTTGGAAGTGAACTCGTTACTT